AGACCCACAAATAAACACTTATGTTCCTTGTTGACTGACAAGGATGCTAAGACAATTCAATAGACACAGAATAGGTATTTCTTTTTTTTTTTTTTTTTGGTTTTTCTCCGGTACCGGGAATCGAACTCACGACGTTGCGCTTGCCATCCAGGCGCTTTTGCCGCTGAGCTAAATCCCCAGCCCCTAAAGTCAGTTCTTAAATATTTGTTAATGGATTATCTGCTGGGGGATCTATAGCACGTCAATGTGACATCTTCCTTAATACCTTGCTGATTTCTGATTGTTAAGTAGCTAAATTAGAAAACAGGAGACTCAGGAAAATAAGGTAGCCTGAGGCCAATATCATGTGTGAGAGTGTACATGTGTCCTATTACTAAAAATAAAAATGCTTTAGGGGATTATTCATAATTTTATTGTGCATCACACTTACTTATTTTCTCCATATTGATGTTTATGCAAAACTCACAATTCCAAGGAAGAAAAACAATGCTGGTATTATTTTTTTCACCAAATGTAGACTCCTAAGAGGAAACATCCCAAAAGTACATCCCTCAGGCGCAGCAAGAGAAGATGGGCTCCTATTCCCTGTTCATTGATGGAGAACTCGTTAGGTCCATTCCCACAACATGTTCAACAGGTATGTTTCATCTTTTATAGGATTTCATGTATCTTAAAGTGTTTTGTTGGTAAAGCTTTCCATTTGAAAGTTGCACAGTATATTGAATGAGAGGTTTAAGTGATTGATAGTTATAAGATCATCTTTACCCAGAATTATGGTCATATAGAAGTGATCCAATATGTTTTACTGCTTTCTTGCACAAGACATGTACATTTAGAACCAAGTTTCATATTCTGAGTGTCCTATGCCATACATTTACAACCAAGTTCATCCGAATGCTTTGCAAGACATTTTAACACTGGTGTACAGGATGATTACAGGTTTTTCATGATTCAACTCTTGCTTAACACTTCAGCTCTGAAAACTGATCACTTTTCCATTTGCCATATAAGGTTGTCTCACTGCCACATAGTTGAACTGAAAGCATAAGAGAGTTATGGGACTACCTGAGTTTTGAAGAATTAATTTGCAAGAAAATTTGCATTAATTTTATATTACCTTTGTGCTCATATAATATTCAGTTCCAAATAATTCAAAATAACAGAAATGCTACTACATTTCATATGGGAATAAAAACAAGTGAATAGGAATGCTAAAGGCATAATATTCCATAAACTGTATAATTTTGCAAATAATAAGAGAACTTAGGATCAAATAAGTGACAGAACCTGTGGTATTGCTCATTACAAAGTGCAAATAAGAATTTGCAAAACATGGGTGATGGTGCATACATAAACAAAGGAAAAAAAATAACAGGTAAGTAGAAAAGAAAGCAAAAGATAACAAGTAAACCACACTCAGGGTAGGTTGAAGATAGCATGACATCTTTGTTCTGGTCCTAAATTGTCACTTAATCCTCTAGATTCAGTCTGATGCTGCACAGAATTACACTGTCTTTTACTCCATAAGTGGGCCAGGAGTGGACAAAGAGCCCTTCAACCTGTTCTACATAGAGAAAGACTCTGGAGATATTTATTGTACAAGAAGCATTGACCGTGAGCAGTATGATCAGTTCATGGTATGATTGTTAAAATATTTATTTAGAATTATACCCTTGTTATTTGTTTATATTTCAGTGTTATTTTTGACATATTTAAAATTTAAATATTTGACTTAATTTTTGAAATATTTTTAATTCCAATTCTTAATAGTGCAATTGCTACAAAAGAGACAGGAGATATAAACAAAAAGGTAAAGTTAAGGGAGGACAACAGAAAACACAATGACAGAATTTTAAAGGATAGATTTCGATCTGCAGAATTCTAGAGAAGCAATCATTTTCATCTAATTTAATGTTCTCTATAATAACATACTCAGATATTCTCAATTGTGACTATGTTGTAAATGATATGAAAATGAAAAACTTTTTAAAAATCCAGATGGTTTTCGGGGCCCATGCTCAGAAATTGTGACTTCATTGTTCTGGGCTAGGACTCAGTTATCCAAAGTGAGTTGAAATGTTTACACACTGCGGTTGGATCCTCACTGTGAATGCATGATACTTCTTTTCTTTCCTCTCTCACTCACTGTTCTTCAGCAATGAAATCCTTGGGTACCTTCTTCCTTCCTTAGTAATCCAGAACAAATTTGCTAATCTGTCTTATTCTACCCCAGGACAAATTCTCTTTTGAAAATTAAATCCTTGTGTTGTTTCAAATTATACATACCTCTTCAGGGTTCTGATGTCTAACCTGATGTCTGAGACAAATTCACAGTGATTTTACTGGATAATGATGAGTGATACTGATTAAATACTTATTACTGAATAATAACAGAAGGTAATAAAGAAGTTTTTTGCAAAAGGAATTGTCCTAACTTCTCAACTCCCTATTCCTTTCAGTAGCTGTTTGCACTTTTCCAAAGAGGGCAGTAATTTGGCAAAACAGAATGTGGAAAGGTTGAAAGAAATCAGGTCTTTCAGGCTCCAGAAGAATTCAAAGGGGCAAAGGATGTGGCAATGACAAGCCCATGATCTTTAAACAACAGTCTTCTAACCTGGCTACAAATCATTCTAATATTTATTAGTCTCGGTGTACGCACATTTAAGTTTATGATTATTACTTTTAATATGGAAAAATGGGATCTACTGTGCAAAACCATTATCTGTTGAGTTTTTTTAAGGTATGCTAAAGACTAAGCAAATATAATTTCTTATCCCATTCTGTGACTATAGCTGGGTTTTCTAAAGAGTTGGACTATGTTTGATGTTCAAGTACTTTCCTAGCTTAAGTCATCCTGCGGACTATCACGGTTTCAATTATAATTTATTTTGGACATAGTTGGCTCATATTTGAATGAAAATCATTGCATCTGAATCAGTAGCATGTAAAACCATATTTATGTGTAGTCAAACATAAAGAAACGGTATTTCAAAGTAAAGTATTATCTTCCTGGCCAAACATCTCAAAAGTGGCAGCATTTTGTGAAGGAAAAGTTCAGACCATCCATATGGAGGAAAGGAAGGAAGGGAAAGAAGGCAAGGAAAGCTGAGGAAGCCGTGTGTGAATGGCCAAGGTGTGGTGATGAAGGTCATGAGGGTGGCAATGATGTGGTGAAGTCGCGATGCTACATCCCTGAATTTCCTTCCTGAGCTTGAAGAGTTTTTGAGAAATGAGACAAAGAGGTCAGACTGGCAGAAATCAAAATATAAATTTTATTACCAAAAAAACCTCATGTTGTTTTGGGGGAAAGTGAATAAGGAAACAGAGAGAACATAGATTTTTTTGTTTGTTTGTTTTTCATTTTGTTTTTAAGGTGCTGGGAATAAAACCCAGGGCCTTGGGCATGCTAGGCAGGCGCTCTAACCACTGAGCCACATCCCTTGAAGGCTATTTTAATACTCTTTGTGTCCTGTAAGAGTGAAATTCATTCCGTTCTGGGTTAGCATGAACGGTGAAACACTATTGACACAATAGTGAGGATTTGATGGTTACTGCAGCAGAGGGTTGGTAGATCACTGACGAATCTGATTAGGGAATATCATGATGAAAATTGTGTTTTATGAAAATGAAGTCTGACTTCTCAATGCCAGGCAGATTGGAGAAGGGTAAGTCAGTTAGGATAGCTAGATGGAGTCTGGAAGTCAGTTACATACGGGACATTGGGAACCTCATGGAAGTGACGGCGGTAAGAAAAGCAAAGAGAAGCTGGACGCCAGGGCCACGGAGAATACCACAGTCTCGAGAACTCAGCCGCTGAATAATAAAGCTGATGTGAGCGAAAGCAGGGTTTGGTATTTGGAATTTCAGTCTAATTCATTTTAGACATGGTTGTGGTAGGGAAATCAAGAAGATCTGCGGTAATTAACTAAGGTAATACAGAGTTTACTTGAGGCAAGCTTAGGTGAAAAAAGATATTTTACTAAATATTTTACATGATTTACATGCGTAAACCATGTGAAGAAAGCATAGAAATGACTTGATGGAATTTAAAGAGAAAAAAACATTAAATATTGTGCGTTAAGATATGTGTATGCTTTTATTAACATTTTTGTTAGAAAGAAATCCACGTTAATGATAGAAAATAGGAAAACACATGTAGAGACATTGCTTAGAGATGATGGTAATATATATTTATATGTATATATAAGTATATAGACAATTGTATTTTTTAAATAAACTTTTAAAAGTATTTGTCGTCAGTCTTCCTGGAGGAAGTCTACGCCATTCTACCAAGCAGGGTGCAGTTAATCCAGAGACTGCCTGGAGTTCATGGTGCTTGGGAGGCGTGGTACTCTGTGGGAGAAAAGCGAGAAATAACCCCTGCAGGGGACTGAAGCCATATGGCCGGTGTATATGGCGCCTGTGTGTTATCTCTCCACTGCATCGTTTCTTATAGACACCATTGTGGATGAGTTTTTAAACGACACATGTTGCTTTGCTGCTGGGCTTACCACTGTGCATAATTTGTCATCTGAGGACCAGCCAATGCTACTTTTCCTTCTTTCAGATATATGGCTATGTAACAACTGCAGATGGCTACGCACCAGATTACCCACTCCCCTTGTTATTCAAAGTCGAAGATGATAATGATAATGCCCCGTATTTTGAAACCAGAATGACAGTTTTCAGCGTGCCTGAAAATTGCAGAACTGGTAAGTTCACATATTAGAGTGGCATGATAAGAAGTAGTGGGGAGGGAGGGGAAAGGAATGGCAAAGGAAAGGGTTATAAAAAGAATTAAGATGTGTTATGTACAGGTACGAACCCTCCACAATGAGTGTAATCATTATGTACTGCAAACACGTACTAATGAAAATAAAAATATGAAAATAGATTGACAGTAAATATAAATATTAAATATTTAAGTTCATTATTGCATTTCTTTTCTTTTTTTTTTTTTTGGTATTTCTGATTCCATGTACTTTTTTTTTCCAATTAGAAATTGATGTTATATTACACCCCTGTTAAGGGTCAAATAACTGTGAGCAAATGTTCTTAAATTTAAGCAGGTGCATAATATATATCATATGTGACTCAGCTCTCTGTGGGGTTGGTTATTACGAAGTGGAGTGTGGTTTGCATGTGTATGCTTAGACAGTCTGTATTCTTTCATTTGTTCATTTATTCATTGTTTCTTAATGATATTTATCTGAGGATATCTGAAGGGTAAATGTGGGGAAAATTCAATTTTTCGTTTTAATCCAAAAGAGTAACCAAAAAAAAAAACCAGTTGTGGGAACATTTTATGGGACCAAGCAATAGCTTTTAACTGACACTTGAAATTCAGAGAGTTTGACTTTTGTACATTATACATGTGTGATACCAATTTTTACTGAAATAATATCAGTGTTGCTTTTGTGAATTCTTTTCATTAAAAGACTGTTGGATATTAGCTTTCACTTTAGCCTAAGCTTTTAGCCAGTATCTAGTATGATGAAAGATTTAAAAGGTTTTTGCCTCAGTTGAATTCTTCATTAGTGTTTTAAAAAACCATGTAGAACATTATAAAATACTTGATTTTCAAGGATACACAATATACAGCCTTCTAGTTTTGTAAGACCATATGCTTTGTAAAGACGAATATTTTGTTCAGCTTTTTATGCTTGCTAAAAAATACATTAAGGTTCTAACTAGCTAGATTCATTGCAGTGAATTTGTGCAATAGACAAGCATTGTTTATCTTCTCTATTTTTACCATGTGCATGTGTCATGGGTATGTTTATAAAACATTATATAACTGGAATCTTTATAAAGGCCTTATATATCTTCTAGGACCCAGAAATATATATGGTGTTATAACAATAGCTATATACTAATAAGATTTATAGCAACATACATATTTCTTTTCTTGGCATATCGTCCAAACAAATTAAAAAGTAAATTAACTGGCTTGATGCTCCTTGAAGGCAAGATTGTGATATAGGCCTACAGAAAAGTATAAGATTCTTTATCTTAAAAATTTGCAAGAAATGTCATTAGCTCTCATGATCTGCTCTGTCCTATTGCCATGGATGCATATTTATAATATTTCTCTTACAATCAGTGGGTTGTTAAAGTAGTATTCCTAATAGTCTTATGTCTGTGCTATGAGACTTGTCTAAATGATAGACTGGTGGATAATGTTTAGTACATAAATTAATAATTATTTCCATATGTTAATAATTCAACACATTTATTAAAATATAAAAATAAAATTTTGTTTTCGTATACTAAGATGCATCTCTAATTAACATAGTCTACTAGAGTAGACTATGAAAATGATAAAGTATGCAGAAAGGGTCTCATTCAAAAATAGCCCATGAAGTGGGGTAGTAGATTGGAAAAAAGAATTTGGTAATTACAGTTACCAAGTACAGGGTGGGGACTGTTCTCACATATGTGAAATACAAATCCTGTTACAGTAGCCACCTAAATGAAATTGCAAGGAAGAGGAGCTTGGGGATCTTCTATGGACCATTTATATTCTCTTCAGATGTTCTGTGAAACTCATCTTTTTTGTGGTTTTTGGGTACAATTTGCTACACTAATGCCTCAGTGTTATTTTTATTTATAATTATATCATGATTGTAATTTTTGAAAATATTTGATTTGTCTAAACAGGCACTTCTGTGGGCAAAGTGATTGCTACAGACCTTGACGAACCTGACACCCTACATACTCGTCTGAAATATAAAATCTTGCAACAAATCCCAGATCATCCAAAGCATTTCACTATACATCCAGACACAGGTGTCATTACAACAACTACTCCTTTACTGGACAGAGAGGTAATGGGCTGGTTAACTAACTTCTCAGTCATTAAGCTACATAGACATTGATAATGAACTCCCAAGACAAGTCACAATATGGCCATTGCGGTTTCCTCTCTAAGTATTCTTCTCTAGGCTGCAGACGCCGGGTCGGTACAAAGCGTTAGACAAGGTTTCCCTTGCTACCACTGAACTGACCCATCATTATCACCCCAAGGCCACTGTTTACATTAGGTTTGTTCTTGGATCTGTATACTCTGTGGGTCTGGACAAATGCATAAGGACACACATCCATCACTGTAGTCTCATGCAGAGTGATTTCACTGTCTCAAAACTCCTTTTTATTCCTCCTATACATCTCTTCCTCCAAAACTCCTGGAAACCACTGATCTTTCTCTTGTTTCTGTAGATTATACTTTTTTCAGATGTCCTATAGTTGAAATCAAACAGATGTAACCTTTCAGACTGGCTTATTTCTCCAAGTAATTTACATTTAGATCCCTTTCATGTGTTTTTATGGTGTGGTAGGTCATTTCTTTTTAGTACTGAAAAATGTTGCATTGTTTGAATGTACCAGTTAATCCAATTATGCACTAAAGGACACCTTGATTTTTCTCAATTTTGGCAGTTATGCCAAAGTAGCTTTAAATTTTGAAATGTTACATTAGGCATCTCACCTTCTCACTGTGCTGATTGGGAAGTCTCTTATACTTACATTTATGGTATTCTTTAAAAAACCCTTATATTTAGGGCTACAATTGTAGATTAAGGGTGGAGCATGTGCTTAGCATGCCTAAGACCCTGTTTCAATATATATTACATATAATGTATATCTATTTTAAATAACATTTGTGAAATAATGGCAGCATGAAAAGTGGCTATAATAATTGCAAGTTATAAGAAGTAGTGCACATGAAAGTACCTTTTTCCTTTTTTTTTTTTTTAGAAATGTGATACTTACCAGTTAATAATGGAGGTGCGAGACATGGGGGGCCAACCTTTTGGCTTGTTTACTACCGGAACAATTACTATTTCACTTGAAGATGAAAATGACAATTCACCATATTTCACACAAACTTCTGTGAGTACATTGCCCTCTCTCTCTTGCTGATTCATTGATCTGAATTTACTTCTTCAAAACAAATGTAGAATTTGTGAGCCCTGTGAAATCACACATTTTGATTAAAATAGCTTTCATTCACAAATAACACAGAGAGGAAAGTGATTTTGGAAAAACACCTGAGGTGCCAGTTATTTCTGGATGCCACAGAAGTGGCGATTTTCTCAGTGTCTAAGAGCTGCTTAGTCTTTGATGCAGCTCATGTGGTCCATGCTTTCTGGATTGTTCTTCTTTGCCACTAGCAGATTCCTTGGACTTGAGTTATTTCATACGATGAAGAGAAGAGGCCCTCCCACTGATGTCCTCCAATACTTAGAATGAGAAAGAAACTAGCTTTTTATTCTCTGCTGGAGCCTGAATCCATGCTGCTCCCCCTGTCCTAAAGCAGACTTTCTTTTAGGCTATACCAAGGAAATGGTTCTTTTTTTGTGAACTTTTACTAAGTAACTTTCCATTAATCTATACCAGAGTATAAGTCAAAGATGAAAAACAAGCAACCACTATAATAGTCACAGTCATGTGATATTTTTCCATTAATTCCTACAATGTGTGAAGATGTATTTTATTCCATATTTAACATGCAGAGATGGAAGCTATGACAATAACTTGTCCAAGTCTCAAAGACCATTTACAAGGGATTATTAAGGTTCAACCCTAGATCAAAATGCTGTCATTGTTCTATGAATTCATTGTACATCTTTAGCAGATTTGAATGTATTACCTTTTTTATTCTTTTAATAATTTATACTTCTTGTAATCATGTTTCTTTTGTGGGGAAGAAGTTTATGATTTACTTTCTCAAAAAAGGAAAACCTCTCTTAAAATATTATTACCACTGGGCCATGGATATAGCTCAGCAGCGCAGTGCCTGCCTGGCAAATACAAGGTCCTGAATTCAATTACTGGCACCAAAAAAAATTTACCACTGAATCAAAAAAGAAAATTTTAAATATTAATATAAAAGTAAATCATGCAGGAATAAATCAATATATAGTCTCATTATATAAAGATACTGAGTGCTTAATATATTAACATGAAACATGTACTCAGTGCTTACTTTTTCTAAAATGGAGGATAACCTGCAAATACTGTAGAATTTCTGAGAAGAGATAAATCTGAGGGCTAAAGGACCCCAGGAAATCATGTCAGAGAATTCAGAAGGTAAGATTTGTGTAGAATTTGGCAGACTTGAAAAAAAGCAGTTTAAGAGGAAGCAATAAACTATGCATTAAACATATAATTTATTTCTCAATATATGAGTACACATTTCCATGTGACTTTTTCTTTGAATAGAATTTTTACAGTGGGAAACTGTACTGTTAAAGCTGTAGATTTACAATGTAAGATGGCAATTATTTTTCAGTATTTTACTGAAGTAGAAGAAAACAGAATAGATGTTGTGATTTTACGGATGGCCGTACAGGACCAAGATTTAGCAAACACTCCTCACTCAAAGGCTGTATACACGATCCTACAGGGAAATGAAAATGGTAACTTCAAAATTAGCACAGATCCCAAAACAAATGAAGGAGTCTTATGTGTTGTCAAGGTAAGTAAACAAAATAATGAAGCAGTGTCTTACAGTATTCTAACTTATGCCTGTACACTGATATTAAAAAATAACTTTCCACATATACATGACTATAACGTTGCAGTAATGCTGGTATACATTGGTTTACATAGATCTATTTCTTTTAGTAAAATTACTCTTATTTATTTTCTTAAAGGAGACATGACTTCTATATATGAGGAAAACAAAAGCCAAGAAATATTCAATATGAAATAGAATATTTGCCTCAGAAGAGATCTTAGACAGTTACTGGTTGCTCTCTGAGTTTTTTGAAACGTTGTCTTCACTAACTTTTTGACTATCTTCTCTCACTACTTTCTTAGAGACCTAGGGGGTTCTTAGACACTTTCTGAAGAAACTGTGTTTTCTGATAAGATTTTCATAAAGTGTTATTTATTATATTACATTGCATATTCTTTTACTCTTTCTCTTTCCTTCATTTATTTTCTTTTTTTCCCTTCTAAGTTTCTCTTGCTTTTTCTTTCACTCTTTAAATGTTGTTGTTTTCAGAAGTCTTTCTACTTATCTAGTGTAGCACTGTGCACTTTGTGTAGGAACTCAGCAGCCTCAAATCTAAAGCGCTGTGAGAAGTGCTCCTACGTGACCTCAGGTATCTTTGGATTTAAATACTCAGAGCAACTGTTTCTCTGTAGTCAAATATCTTCTGATTATTTTACATATTACCTTGGAAGAGTATTTTTACCATTATTTCCTACTCTATGAAATGAAATAATTTGAATATTTAAAAACACTTTTTCTGCATTTCTATTAATAAACTTAGTGAGAAAAGTGAAGCTAAGATCATTGAAAAGAAAAGTGAGAAAAAAATTGATTGACTCCTAAAATCAGTAACTTTACACTTGACAGCTTTAACATTGTAGGAAACGAACTACCAACCTATATTAGCACCAATTCTTGGCAACGTTTTAAACGTAAAAATCACATTTACTTTATGTTAAAACTTGGCATCATAATTATGTCTTCTATATAATGATGATATCTACGGACTGATAAAAATATGTTTATTGAACAGCCGTTGAACTATGAACTCAATCACCAAATCATTTTGCAAATTGGTGTACTTAATGAAGCGCAGTTCTCTAAAGCAGCAAACTCACCACTTCCTACAATGTGTACTACAACCGTCACTGTTAAAATTAAGGACAGTGATGAGGGGCCTGAATGTCAGCCACCAGTAAAAGTTATTCAGAGTAAAGATGGCCTCCCAGCTGGCAAAGAACTCCTTGGCTATAAAGCACTGGACCCAGATGCACGCAGTGGTCAAGGCTTAAGGTGATATACTTTTCAAGTTTCTTAATTTTAATGAGTGTAAATTGTATATATATATTCAAAATGACAGTTTTTAAGATCATGTCTTCTCTTCTGCTTGATTACTCATCTTTGATTTCTATAAATTAGGTATAAGATGGTAAAAGATGAAGATAACTGGTTTCACATTGATGAAAACACCGGAAATTTGAAAACTGTAAAAGTACTAGATAGAGAATCAAAATTTGTAAAAAACAACCAGTACAATGTCTCAGTAGTGGCAGTGGATGCGGGTGAGTGCCATTTTCTAGAAATAAAATACAAGTATAGAATATGTTTCTAAGAAAACTTGGGATGAAATCTGTTTATTTCCAAAATTTAATGCAAACAGTATTTGCATTAATGTGATCACCATGCATAATGCCAACCATTATGATTGCTTATTTTATTGGAACGACCCAATGTGGGCAACTGTGCATGCACAAGGCAAAGCTACAAGAGGGTAAATGGTTAAAGTCTAACTTTGCAGGACTGGATTACTTGATTTTTGATGAGAAAACAGAGGCATATTCAAGGCTTTCCAATTTTTTCATGAGTACTGGTTTAAGTCTTCATAATTTGAATTTGGTGAAGGAGTTCAACCTACCCTAATGCACTTAGGTTCTAGGTAGTTTTGTTTGAAGCTGTTCCTAATGGAGAATAAATAATTTGTTCTGTTTCTAAACAACGGAGCAATGGTAATTCTTTTTGCTATGGTTTGCAATCTTTGAGGTTAATTCTAGAATCTGTATTGTGAAGAATGTTCTTTAAATATTGTAGGAGTCATGAAATGCTTTTAAACATATATGCCGAGCAGTAAATCATTTTAATATGTTTATAAATATTAAAAGGCTTTGCTAGTGTGTTTATTTAATTTACATGTACCACTATGCATATCTATATTATATATCAAAGACATACACAAAATAAATATAAAAGTATAAATAGAAGTTACACTATTTTGCTCCACCATACCAATTGCATACACACCTATTTGACACAATTAGGCTTTTCCAGCAGAGCTGATTCTTTTTTTTTTTTCTTTTAAAGAGAATTAAAAAAAAACAATAAAAAAGATACAGAATTTCAAAACAAGATGATAGGAAATTAACAATAGTTATTATATTGCATATTGTTATCTTCAAGGTAGTTGTTCACATTACCAGATATAAGCATACAAAATTGATCAAGCAATTAAGCATTAACTATTTCTTTCAACAAACCCACAGAAATTAGTAGTACTACATATATTTCCCTTCCTTCATTCTTTTCTGCTTTGTCCCACCCCAGTTATTCTTTTCTTCTGAGCAGTTTCTTAATCTTTGACTGTCTATCTAACCCAGGAAAGCTTTCATTGCTTTTACGTGTACAAGCTGGATGTTCAAATCAAACTAGTTGGCACAGCAATGCTATGGCTTATCTTTAAAGTATCTTTACAATGCATGGGCAGCTGTAGGAATAAATAGATATCAAATTCCATGGCAATTAATGGAAGTTGAAAGTAAGTACTGAAACTTCATGTTTAAGAGTCCTGTCTCTTGATATTTAGACAATAAAACATCCATACAAGGCTTTCTCAGATATTTTAATCCTATTTTTTTCCTGTAGTTTTAAAACAAAAGCCTTTAGAATGCACTGTTTTATATGCCTTCCACCTAGAGTATCATAGCCTTTCCTGTTTGAAATTAGGTTCTTTAAAGGGTTTAAATGAATGGCAATAACAACCTCTGTGATTGTTCCTGCTAGCCTTTGGTCAGTTCTTAAAGGCTTTTAATCATTTGCACTGGGAAAAATATGCTAGAGTGGTGAGGTGTTTTCACTCTAAAGGATACTTTGATTGTTCTTGTGTGTATTCGGTTCTCCTAACTAGAGTGTGAGGTCAGTGTTCTGCAAGCACCCTTTGTCTTTGACTAAGCCATGCCTTTAGCAAACATCTAGTAGAGAATTTGGCGTATGTTTGTTTAATGCGGATATTGAGATCTATTATTCTTCTATTCTTTGAGAGTCCTCGGTCCAGTTTGTAAAGTTCCCTAATTCTGGGAGCATCACTGGTAGTACTTGGAAAAAATGATTTCAATGTAGAAAACTCAGCTCAAAAATTGCACAATATTCTCTCATTCTGGGCTTCTATAAAAGGAATTTTCTTAAAATAACAAATATTGTAGTGCTGTCACGTAGAAATGGTGAACCTTTTTGTGTGTAGAATGTAGAATGTAAATGAACACAAACACATTGTTGGAAATTAATAGAAGCCACTTTGTAATTTAAGAAGAAAGAACCTAAAATCTTCACACATGCAGCAGGTTGATTCTTAACAGTGAGCTTCCATTTTCTGAAAATACTTAAATAGCAATGGAGAAATAATGATTCAGAATTCCTCTTTGTTGAAGTGTCGTGAGTTTGGGTTTATTTAGTTATTAATATACTTAGCAGCTCTGTGACTGTGGCGTTCTCTACTCACCGATACTTGTCATTTGCTTATGTGCTTAATTTTGAAATAAGCTTTGAAGTAGACAACTACATCTAGTTACCTTTTCAACCATTATCAGTAATTACTTACTTTTGGCTCTGCTTCCCAGAGGCAAAGTGAAATGTTACCAGGAGATCTTTGTAGCTGTGGAAATCTAAGACTTCATTTTCGGGTGTGGCTTTGACTGATACCTGTTTTCATAATTTCAAGCATCTTTCATTCTGTTTCAATCAGCCACCTTAAGGCAGAAACCATGATAGCAAATAATGTTATGCGGTAAATGTTAGTTGACTATGAGATGAAAGGAGCCTTGGCTTTCCTCTGGCTGCCATATTTTATTCAATGTTCAAAGGATTTCACTCTACTTCTTCTGTCAAGAGAAAGATCATCTACTTAAATTTAGAAAGCAAAATTACGGAATACGTGTCAACTCATGTATAGTGCTGGTAACACATTTTTTATATTAAGAAAGGCTTTTTACCAGATGTTGTGGCACATGCCTGTGAGTCCAGGAAGCTAAAGCCAAGGGGTCATAAGTTAGAGCCCCACCTGGGCAAACTTGTGAGACCTTATGTAGAACAAAACAAAACAAAACAAAACAAAACAAAACAAAGCAAAATAAAACAGCACAACACAACTGACAAAGCAAAAGGACAAACCAAAATGAAAGGCTTCCTTTTTATATCATTTGTTTCTTTTTTAATTTGCTGACTTTGACATTTTTGCTTGCATTCAGATTTATTTATAATTTTCTGGGAGTCTGGAAATATTGCAGGGTTTTTTCCTTGTGGAATTCTTTTAACAGCCATACATCTCTCCCATTTAGAGAGGTATTTTGAAACTTGTTTTAAATGGAATGAATATATACAATAATTGTACATAAGTAAATAGTTTAAAAATCACTGTGAATAAATTAATTTTGTCATTATTTAACTGAAAAACTTCCCTGAGCTATATTACACAGTATGATTTAGGGGTTTCTTCAAACTAAGAGGAAAAAGGAGTTATATTTGCATAAAATTTGTAGTATTTATGATAAATTCAACACACATATTTCAATATTTTGGGCCAGCCTGAATGTAAGAAAATGAAAAATTAAATCAGTTATCATACTTTTTTTAATTTCAATTTTGAAATCATATCATTCGTGGAAGTTTATTATCCTTTTATAAGTTATAGAATTTGAAGATGTTTCCAAACGTTTTAATTTCTAAAATGCCAAAGATGGGCTGTACTTTAATTTAAAATATTTCTTTCGATTTATTTGTGAACCATTAGGCTAATAATAGTGGCAGTCAATAGATGAGAGATCGCTCCTGTTAACAAGAACATATTAATTGAATAGGGTCAGGATGGAAACTCATTTTCTAACTTACTCAATTACATCTTTTCACTGCATAAAAAGAATAAGCACATTGTATTCAATGGAGTAGCATTAATTTACAATTGGTCAAGAAACACTAGTTTCCTCAGGTGAATACAGTGGTGCGTGGGTTCATGAATGCTTTTGTTTGTAATTTGGATCACAAACAGAAGCATCTGGCAAAATTGTGTTTCTGTTTGTGAACCCTACACTGGGTGACGAACATGGAGTGGCCATTTTCTCCACACTAACACAAACGTGGCCATCTTTTCCAGAATCATGGAATGAATTAAGTTCATGAACCAAGGCACCACTGCATGTCTTAGCATTTTACGTTTTCAGGCTGCCAGCTAGTCTGAGAAAACCAAGGAGAGTAGGAATCCCATTTCCTGTTGAAGTCACAAGTTTCATGAGGATAACAGGGTTGGCCTGGAGAAGTAGACTATGTGCTTATCACGTGTAAAGCTCTGGGTTAAAGTAAAATAAAAAAAAAAAGTTTGATCAGGCAAGGTATTCTGGGTAGTGGCAACGGAATGCATCAAAGCAGACAGGAAGTGCCCAGATGGTATGCTGAGAACAGGTACAAGTTTTGAGCAAAAGATATATGAGGAGAAAAAGAAGAAGCTGAGAAGACAACCAATAAGCAAATCTAAAGTATTTTTATTTCTAAAGGTAAATATATGCCTTTATAAAGAATGTAAGAAATCAATTTTAGACAGGTTATTCTTTATTTATATTCCTCATAACTTCACACCTTTCAGTGGCATTTTTAATTTTAAAAAGTTATTTTTGTTTTTTTCAGACAAGGTCTTGCTATGCAATTTAGCCTGGTCTTGAACCCACTATATAGTCCAGGCTGGCCTTGAACTTGCAACATCCTCCTGCCTCAGACTCCCGGGTGCTGGGATGATAGGCATGCACCACCACAGGCAGCTATCTTTCAGTGTTGAAAAGTACCTGCAAGGATATCTGACCCAGCCATCAGTGTTCCGGGGGGAGTGGCATGTCACTGTTTTATAATAACTGTGTCTGAGATCTATGCAGCTATTTAAAAGCAGGTGTCAGCTGCATATTATATAACTTGTTGAAAATAAACACATCTCTAACTGGAGAAATCACCCACTTGTGATTTATCTTAGTTGGCCGATCCTGCACAGGAACACTAGTAGTTTTCTTGGAAGATTACAATGATCATCCACCACAAATTGATAAAGATGTGACCATTTGCCAGCACAATCAAGATTATGCTGTTCTGGAACCGGTAGATCCAGATGGGCCTGAAAATGGTCCACCTTTTCAATTCCTTCTGGATCATTCTGCCAGCAAACTTTGGACCGTAGAATCCAAGGATGGTAAGAAATTATGCTAAATCTTTTTATCAGTAAGGGTTTAGGATATCTGATGGTCTTCAATCTTACCTCAGTTCATCATAAAATACATATGCATTTTAGGAAATTATTTTATTGACTCTAAGAACGGAATACCATATATATTATGTATGAATTCTATACGTGTAAATTATATATATTACACTTAGATTCTTGTTCTAGTATCTTTTAAGAAAGCATAAATGTACCTTGTACACCCATTTGTATAACATGTTAAGTGTAGATTAGTTTAATGTGAGAGTAAAATACTACCAAGTTTTTTTTTGTTCCTGAGAAAAATCCAAGTAATTTTCAAGAAAGAAAAAATGATCCGTTAATGTTTTTACTTCAAACAAATCCCTCCCAATAATACCAAGTGGAAGTACTTGGTATTATTGGTCCATGATCCCATTGCTACTGAAACGTCATGTCACTATACTTTCTGCCTTTTTTTCTCAAGGTAAACGTGCCATTCTTCGTGGACGGCAGCATCTCGAGAATAACTATTATTCTGTGCCTATCCAAATACAAGACAGACATGGTATTTCTGCAAAACACATTTTATCAGTGAGAGTATGTGACTGTACAGCTCCATCTGAATGTAGAATGAGTGTTAAAGATGAAAGGGACGTTAAAGTGCAAGGCTCAAACGTAATTCTTGGAAAGTGGGCGATTCTTGCCATGATTCTGGGTTCTGCATTGTTACTATGTAAGTATCATTATCTGGAATGTCTTTATTTTGGGTACTGGAAATTGAACTCAGGACCTCATGCTTGCCAGGCAGGCACTGTGCTACTGAGCTAGATCCCTGGCCTATCTGGAATGTCTTGACTAAAGTTTTACCTAATTGTTATGTGTTAGTCAGCTTTCTGTTACCATAACAAAATATCTATGGTAACAATTTATAAGGGGGAAGGTTTATTTTAGCTGATAGTTTTAGTCCAGGGTTGATTGGCTCTGTTGATTTGAGTCTGTGGGGGGAAGCATGTGGTATTGCAAAGCTACTAGCTTCATGAAACCGGGAAACAAAGGACCAGAAGAAAAAGGGGAATCAATATCACCTTCAAAAACACACCTTAGAGACTGGACTTCCTCTCATAGGCTCAACATCTTAAATGTCCCATTGCCTCCCAGTAGTGCTTGAGGTGGGGTCCAAGCCTTCAGCAGATGTGCATATCATTTGGAAGGACACTTACCAAAAGATGTCAGTTTAGGACAAAATATATGGCAGCTCTTCATATTAATGACATGGATAGCCTTTCACACCAGTGTCCTTTTAAAAGCATTGGATCCACTTTATAAGTTGAGGTTCTGAGTCTTAAAAGAAATAGTAATAGCAGATTTAAATGTTTAGATTAAGTTTCAGGGGTAGTAGCCTTAATTCTTTAATAACTAGCCTTGAAATATTGAGTAAATCATTTCTCATTCCTTGAACATATTTTCCATATACAAAATGAAGAAGTTGGATAAAATTATTAAGAGTTCTTCCCATATTAAATATTATAGTCTTTCAAGGGGCCAAGTTTTACTTAGGGAACAAAAGTACAAAAAGAATCAGTGAAAACAGCATAGTTCCAAACAGTGTTTAGACATTTGTGTTCCATATTGTGAATCAAGTAGTTCAGCTTACATTGTAAGAAAATTCCAATGAGTGAAAATGGTCTTAAGATGAGCCACTGCAGACAAGTAATGCATGCAAAGGAAACTAACATTTTGTGCTTTTATAACTGTTTTTTGGAGATACAAAAGTAATAAGAACATTCCTCACACTTAAATACCGCTCACCTACAAAGACCCATTGCGTTTACAACTTATCCCTCAGTCTTTACTATGTCTTAATTCATTGTGGTTTGAGGTTCAAACTGAACTGAATGTTCCTGTTAGCCGCGGATTAGTTGATGGATGCTTTCAAAACAGATGCTGATTTTAATTCCCTTTATGGTTATAGCTATGCCTAACGTTCTTTGCTTTGTTGTTCTCAGCCTTTCAAATGTGTTATGCATGATTTTAAACACCAGTAATACTATCTTAGATTTCAGCCAAATGGAGTTACTATTTCAATGTAAAGAAAGTAAGAGATACAAATAAACTAATATAAGCTATTACTAACCTAAGGCAGATTAACTAATTATCACTATTAATAATTATGCATTGTTAACTAATACCTGTTTAAAATATTCTGTTTTAAATTTGATGACCAGATGTGACCTCAGTTTATAAAATGAATTTAAAAAATTTGTACAGAGAAACTTTTAAAAATCTTTTAAACCAACTATTCAATATATACCAAAAGGAGGAAGAATTTCACTTGAATATTTAATTTTTTAGGCATAATGTTTACATGTTTCTGTGTTACTGCTAAGACGACAGTGAAGAAATGTTTTCCAGAGGATGTGGCCCAGCAAAACTTAATTGTGTCCAACACGGAAGGACCCGGAGAAGAAGTAACGGTAATTCAGATTTCAATTCCTTTTGAATTCTATGGTGACCCAATGAGGATGGTTGGATTAATATATAATAATGGCAATAATCACCGATGATGCTTTTTGAGCACATACTATGCCAAGCAGAGTTCCAAATGCCCTGCATGCTTTCATTCATTTAAACTTCATGATCCCATTGCATTAGTTTCAAAGGACTGCCATGACAAACTGAGTGACTTAAACAATGGAACTTAGTATCTCACTATTTTGGAAGATAGAAATTAGACATAAACATATTGGCTAGGGCTGTGTCCTATTTGAAGGCTCTAGGTGAGACCCTGGACCAAGCCTTTCTCCTAGCTTCTCATAACCCCCGAGCTTGTAGCAGCATAAATCAAATCTTCGTGTGACATCCTCCCTGTGTGTCTGTGTTCAAATCCCTTCTTTTCATAAGGAAGGATACTGGTCATACGAGATCAGGCACTTTTGTAGTATGACTACATCTTCACTTAAGCAACTGTATCTACAATGACCCTGTTTCCAAATAAGGTCACATTCTGACGTACTGGTGGTTGGGACTTCAACACATAAATTTTTAGGGGACACAGCACATCTACCGTATGGCTACTGCATCATCCCAATTTTATATGTGGAGAGCTGAAGCACAGCAGGTCAGTGATTTGCCTTCGGCAGGGGAGAAAGTAAATTGTGAGTTTCATTCTGATGCATTCATTTTATCTTTAACTTTATTTTTAGGAAGCAAATATTAGACTCCCTTTGCAGACATCCAATATTTGTGACACAAGCCTGTCTGTTGGTACTCTTGGTGGCCAGGGCATTAAAAGACAGCAAAGTTTTGAGATGGCGAAAGGAGGTTACACTTTGGATTCCAGCAAAGGAGGTGGCCATCAAACCTTGGAGTCCACAAAGGGAGTGACAGATGCCGGCAGATACACCTACACCGACTGGCAGAGCTTCACCCAACCTCGGCTTGGCGAAGTAAGTGCCAGTGTCTTCAAGTTCGTGTCACATGGAAGTGAAGTATTGTCAATCAGGCTTTCCCCAAATTCTACTGCTCGTACACCTGGAACACACTGTCATTTCAATTCGGAATTATTATAGATGTGGATGTCACCTCCAAAGTCAAAGAATAAAACGACCTTCTTAACTTCAAATTTGAACCTATGGTTCACCAGACTTTATCTAGGTGTAGCATATGTGGATGTGTCTAGGAACATTAAAAAAAAGTAGTTTCTTTCCTAAAAATTACAAAAGAAACCCTGTCCGGTGAAATATTTGTTGCAATGGGTAGATCATAAATCATACCATGTCAGTGTGCTTGAGTTTTTTCTGTAGTTATAAAGACCTGGCTATTCAAACTAACAGGTAGTTTGTTGAGCTTTTATTTGGGGTTTTATTTACAAATTTTGTTTTCTTTTCTTGCTTTTGTTTTGTTTTGGGCTCACTAGCCAGTATAGGTTGATATTAGCCAATTTAACATATTTCACTACTATAGTGATATACTAGTATAAAAACAAGAATGATAGCCTATATTGGCTATCATTCTGCACGTATGAGAAAAATAGAGGAAAATTTCAGCTATACACATCTTATGTACAGATGGGAACTTGTAAATGAATTACATGATGTATATGTAGCCTTATTTTTCATAAATGTGTTCACTAGGGGCATTGATTTATTTGCTATATTTTAAGAATGAATATAATACAGACCAATCATGTGCATTTTTTATATGTAGGAATCCATTAGAGGACACACTCTGATTAAAAATTAAACAGTAAAAGGTAAATCCAAGACATCATTTTTATGCTAATCTGTTTAGGTGTTTTTTAAAAAAAATAATAAAATGTGCTCTTTCTCGATACAGAAGGTGTACCTGTGTGGACAAGACGAGGAACATAAGCATTCGGAAGACTACGTTCGTTCATACAACTATGAAGGCAAAGGGTCTGTGGCGGGCTCAGTGGGCTGCTGCAGCGACCGGCAGGAGGAGGAAGGGCTGGAGTTTCTAGACCACCTGGAACCCAAATTTAGGACGTTAGCAAAGACATGTGTGAAGAAATAGATGTGCCTTTTAGTAGAGTAACATCTACAAATGCGTGTGTAGGAGTCTATTGAATACAAAAGGGTAGCAGCATCTGCTAATGATTCTGTGCAGTGGAGGGAACCGTGTTTATTATTGTAACTATGAGACTCCCCCAAGTTCTCCATGTCTATCAGAACTTTCATATTCTGTAGAAGCAAAAGCTGCATTGCTATTGCCCTTCGTATGCTTGTATATACTGCACTGCCCTTTGAGGACTGCACAATGTGCGTGCTTGCACCTTTTATGTGTTTGAAAACGCCTGCTACCTTGTGCGCTATATAGACTATGTGGGAAGGTTGGGTATTGTGGAGGCTATTCCGAGTGAATTTTCATTTTAGATGCACAAATTAAATTTTTTTCTTCAAAATCTTGGGGAAAATTATGATTTGGGGCTTATTTTCTTTAGTGCCAGAGAATTGCTGTCTTCCTGCCTGAAGGATGTATATGTATTCTTAGGTGCAGCCTTCTGTTTGGTAAATGAGTTCATTTCTTACTACACCTTTCACTCCTCAGAGAGGTGCTCCCAGGACTTGCTTCTGCCAGGATCCTGCATAGCTTAGTCCTGAGATTGTGGCCCAGGTGACTGTGTTATCTGGTGCCTACAGCTTCAGGAACTGTAGGAAAGACACAGACCAGCAGCTTGGGCTGCACAGACTTGTTAAGGTTTATGTGAAAGAATTGCAACCCTGATGCCCATGAATTGACTTAAGCTCAAAAATATGTTTCAACCAGGTTTGGTGGCACACACCTGTGATCCCTGCACTCAGGGGGCTGAATCAGGAGGATTGCCATGAGTTTGAGGCCAACCTGGGCTACATAGTGAGTTCAAGGCCAGCCTGGACTGCATAAGGAGACCCTGTTTCAATCCCTACCCCCAAATGTTCCAAATGTTTAGTGTGTCTAACATGATGTACTAGTAAGTCTTTAAAAATATAAATACTTTGGCAAACCTGTTTAGCTGCTAGTTGGACCCAGACCTGCCATCTCAGTGGCTTTCATCCTGTACCTTCAAGAATCTGTACAACCAGCCCTGAAGGCGTTAGGCTGCAATTCTGACACAGAAGGCTTGGAACTTTATATATGACAAAAATTTAGTTCACTTTTATCTTAGAAATTAATACTCAGTCTATATTGGTAATTACTCTCTTAAAATGGAAAATTAGAAATAGTGTCTAGCATGTACATGAATATATTAAAAAATTAAAACCTATTACAGAAACGTGACCAAGCATTCATTGAATGTTGGATAAAGGAACACATACAAGAGTAGGTAAATTATTTTGAAGGCATACAATTCTAATGGGATATTATAAGTTATTAATCTGGAAAGAAACTATATATTGAAGTAATCTTGCATTAGTCATTGTGACAAATTCTGTAAAGCTATGCAGGAGAACCATATATTATGTGGAAATTTCTCACCTAAATTGTTTTGTTTAATCTATTAACTAGCTCTCCTTAAAAAATCAAGTCTTTTTTCTTGCAAATTTTTTGACTAGTCTTACTCTCAGTTACATTTTCTAAGCGAAGGTGAGTCTTGATATGAATCTGAATATTGGAGCAAGAGAAAAATATAGCTTTAATAAGCCAGATTTGGTTTTACAAGATGTCCACCACATATGAGTTTTGCAGCCATTGTAAGGTAATGGGGAAATTTGTATTGTTTGATATACACGTTACTTTGACAGTGATAGGAGTTTTGAAATTTAAAATATAATATTACAAATTTGGAAATATACCATAGTACCATAAATTATATTTTTGAATGTAGGTATAGATGTTCTATGAGTAATTAAAATTATTAGTGGAAGGTTAACTTATATGTGTTTGTCTTCCTATTTCTCTTTGACTTGCCTAAATTTGGAAGAGAAAATTTGTATCTGAGTATAAAGTCTATGTAATAGCCTTAGGTAGATTTCTCAGTCAGCAACAGATGATGTTCTGAAGGATTTTTAGGATGTGGAAAATGAATTTGTATTAAGCAGTGTGGCTATTTAAAATATTTTAAAGTTTTGTTAAAATTTATCTCACAAAGAAACTGTTGATTAATTAACTGTTGATTAATTTCTTTAGGCAGCTCAAAGTCATTTTCTGTTTAGACTCACAATTACATGATAACTGGATATTTGATGAAATTTGTGAAGCTCCATCAGACTGTTTACAAATTTAGTTTGTTAATAAAATACTATATTTCATATAAATGGATTGTGAATTATTTGACTGTAAGTTAATAGTTATGAATTCATTTTTCTCTACTGAAATCTATAGTTAGGGAAATAAGCAATCGAATTTTCCTTACCTTGATTCAGATTTCAAATATGTCATGTAAAAAATTCCCTGGGGACACTAAGATGGATGAAAATGTATATAATTTTATAAATGAGCTGCATGAAGCACTTCTGAACCTTACTGAACTTTTAACTATACCTGATTTTATTTAAAGCACTTCCTAAAACTTGATACCTATGCATGTCTTTCCTGGTAGAAAAAGTCATATGCTATGCTATTTGGAAAGTGCTCAAAATAGCTGTTTTAGAGTTGAGGATTTTTGTTAGCCCATTCTGTATAATGTGTTAGTTATAAAAATCCCATACTAATTGAAGATCCTAAATGAAATGAGCTGGAACAAACAGTACATGCTGCTGCCTCATCTCTGCTTCTCTAGTAAATCGGAGGGACATAGTGGCCAGACAGTGCTCCTGTCTTCCTACTTAGGTAGGGAAAGAAAAATGAAACCTAGCGAGAGTCCAAGAATGAACAGACCCTTGATTATCTTGTAGGGCCCAATAAAATTAAATGAGAATTTTTTTTTTAAGCTTTAAAACATATAATGTTTGCATAAAAGATAAAAAGAATCTGTATGTCACCTCAATCCTTACTACCAATAGCAGAACTATTTTCAAATGAATATACACAGACCAATTTAAGCGTGTAAGTATTATGAAGCAAATGTGTAAAGTACACTCATAATATGCATTTTTATAATCTCCACTTCTTAAGGATTTGACTGATGAGAATAAAGTATCCTTTGATATGCCAGACTAGAGAGTTAGAAGTTATTTATTCCTCAATTTCAGAGAAAAAAAAAAAAACCAAAAAACTAAAAGCAAGTATGGCCTTCCTCTGGTCTGCATTTTTCTCTGAGAATACATAAGGTTTTAACATTTGTTTCCTGAAACTGTCAGTGTGCACAGTGAATGCCCGTAACTGTGGAAGGTTTTATGCATCTGCATGTGGGAATAGTAGGGATCCAGCCCAAGTGGCCTTTGCAAGGAGCTGCATCCCCAACCTTTTTTGTTTTTCATTTTAAGGCAAAGTTTCACTAAATCACTAAATTGTCTAGGTGAGCCTCGAACTTGTAATCCTCCTGCCTCACCCTCCCAAATACTGGAATTACAAGTGCACACTCCCATACCCAGCTGTACTTCTTATCTCGGAGAGCCATACTAAAAATATTTGTTTCTGCTGTTCCTAGGATTGAAGGAAAGGCCTTTGCGCTACCGCTGGGCTACACCCTCAGCTGCTGTCCCTGACTCTAAATTACTGATTCTGGAAATTCGATTTCTGGCCCAGCACCATCAGCTGGGAACTTGTTAGAAACGCAGAGCCCTGTGGAACAGGAAGCACTGAGGGCCAGACCACTGAGCTCTTTAACCCCCCTAGCTGTCCCTCACACCTGGGAAGGCCTGTCCTTGCACCCTTGACCTCTAGGCTGGTCCTGTGATTCCTGCGCTGTGTGCCGCGCTGCAGCTCTGGCGTCACCTGCTAGCTCCTCTGAATCCAAATCAACGTGTTTCCAGATTTTTCCAAGAGCTGTGCATGCACATGAACCTTCGACAGGCACTACACAAAGGATCCGGGAGAGGACAGCGCTCGGCAGGTGCACACTCAGCTGGAAGGAACAACAGGGGCAGCCTCAGGCCGGAGGTTCCGGCCAACGTGGTGAGCAGATGCGTCCCGGCTCGGATGGCGACCCAAATTCAAGAGCAGCTCCTGCCCCTAGCCATGCAGCAGCAATGCCTCCCGGGCCTCCGTATTCCCACGGACCTGGTAACCGGCTTTCTGTACGAGGTACTATGTTGGGAGAGAATGGAACGGGATTTAACAGCTTCCTTCCCGGGAGGCTCGCCCACCCGTGGGAGCAGGGATGCAGCCACTCCCGCGAGAGTCGCCTGTGAGCCACCGACGCCCCCCGCCCCCCGCAGCCAGCCTCAGGAATGACGGCCGGGTCGCGGATGTGTTGAGGAAATGACATTTCCATTGCACTTGGTAGCTTTATTTCATTAACTTGTAATTAAGAAAAATCACAGTTTGTCCAGTTCACATTAGTTTCGGTCAGGCCCGTTTAACAAATTTTACCAGACGTTTCAAAGCCAACTGAATATCCCCGATGGTTACAGCAAATACCCTGAGAATGTTTTGTCAAACAGGTGCCTTGCTGTAATCTTGAGCCAGTTTATCACCATGCATATTTTAAAAGCTTTATTTTTGTGGGTGGCACTGACTTCAAATATCATAGGTGGGGCTAAGGAGTTGTTTGAACTAGTCTTTCATATTAGGTGAGCAGATTATAATTGTTTCTTTTTATTTCACTGAAAAATTATGCACATATAAACCAAGTTTTCAGTCATTTAAAATTTCAATCAGCATTAATATTAATGATTAAATATATGGCATCATATATACAATTAAAGGTAAAAAACAATTGTTAAACCTACAGGGTATTTCACATTGAGAGTGCCGATATATCTAGGAGACCATTATTTCCCATGTTCTAAATTTGGGCAAGGAGAAGTGAGTGCGTGAGACTTCTAGGTAGATGCCTGAGGTGAACTGATTCAGCTAGATCTGTTTCTGTGTGTGTATAGCAATTACATTTTGTAAAATCTAACACCTAAAGGTAAAGCCTAGTGCTCAAGCAGCCATTTTGTGACCTCCAATTTGAAAGCCATCTGCTGTGAAGGGAGGAGCATAAGGATGGACAGAAGCTGAATCCCTGGTGAATGTGTGGGCCTCCAACCTGCTCCTGACTGCCTGCCTTTAATTAAATTCACTCATATGAGTGCTTTTAAATGGTAAACTTTTATGTTTTCTCTTAAATAGACCTGTAACTGGTCTGACATAGGCAAGAAAAGATTGGTGGAAATAATTATTTTATCCAAGTCACAATTCAGTGACATTAATCTGCCATGAAATCTCATTTTTTTTGGTTGAGTTCAACAATCATGTGCCTTGAAGACATTTCAGTGTTCTTCTCAACAACCTCAGAGCAAAAGGGAGTACTAATTGTTTCACAGAAATTAAAAAAAAAAAAAGTGTAATAATAAGTGGCTCCAAAATACCCTCTTTCATCATCTCCAAGCCAAAAGCCTCACTTTCTAGGAAGCCACAAATTTGAGAGTTAGATGTGGGTTCCAGTAACCTGCTGTGGGATACTGAATTTGTCAGTCTTTGAAACTCATTTACTTTAATCCTTCAACTCTAAAAGTATTTGTCAATTGATTTTATTTTTTAATTTTTTAGATAGAATAGTCCAGGCTGGCCTCAAACTTGTGGCAATCTTCCTGCTTCAGCCTCCAGAATGCTGGGATTACAGGTGTGTACCACTATGCCCAGCTGTTTATTGATTTTGTTAACCAGATTACACTGTTTTTTAATGTGGGGATGATGTTGCTTTATATTCATTATTGTAGTTTGCCTTGTACTTGACAAGATTTTTGTTTTTGTTTTTGTGGTACTGGGGATTAAACTCAGAGCCTTTGCACTGAACTCCATCTCCATCCCTTTTTATTTATTTTTTATGTTGAGACAGAGTCTTGGTAAATAGCTAAATTGCCTGGGGCTGGGCTTGAGCTTGCCGTTCTGCTGCCTCAGCCTCCCAGAGAGCTGGGATCACAGGCAAGCAGCACCATGCCTGGCTGGCTTGGATATTTCCAAACACAAGGCCTTTCCATACGCTGAGCACAACTCTACTGCTGAACCATGACCCGTGTCCAGGGGTTTTGCATTTTGACTGTCAATATCCAGGCTATTCATACTCAATAACTGTAGTATTAAATCAATTTTAAAATTGTTTGCACCGTTGTCGTCCATTCCAAAGAATATAATCCATGTGCTATAATCCATGTGCTTGCTTAGGTCTGAGAGACTTAACTCTCTGGTGCATTCTAATAGCTTGAGGCATGCCCTCAGTTTTTAGCTATTTAAAGGTAAATTAAAATTTTTTTCCTTTTAATTTGTTTTATTTTAAAGAGAAAAAGAACAATAAAAATGATTATAGAATTTCAAAACAAGATGATAGGAAATTAACAGTGGTTATTATATTGCTGTTATCTTCAAAACAGTTGCTCAGATGACCAGATATAGGCATGTGAAATTGATCAAACAATATAAGCACTACCACTATCCAAAACGGTATTTTCCATGCTTACCCAAATAGACTTCAGAAAGAGCAAGGATTAGTTACACAAACAGAAATTGTGGCAGTTCCACCTGGTGATAAAGAAGATGATTTTATGGTTTTGCTCTATGACAAATGATGATTACATGTTCTAATTCACTGAGTTGGAATTATGCTGCTCTATATTATAGGCTTCTTCTTTTTTTTTTTTTTTTTTTTTTTTTTTAATGATCTCAATGAACTGGTCATGGCTTGAATTAGGTTCTGGTAACAGAAACAAGACTGATGTAAACAAGCTAAAAGTTCATTTTTCTCTAATGTAAAACAAGTTGAATCTTGGGGGCCTCTAGAGGCTTCTTAATGTTGTCAGTGCCCTTGGGGTCTTCTCCATTTCTGCCCAACTATCTTTTGTACAACCTGCTTCATAGTTACAAGGTGGCTACTGGAACACTAGCCATCACATCTGCATCTCAAGCAGAAACAGAGAGGCAGGGAGATCCTTCCTTCTTAGCTCTTCTAGAAACTCCACCCAACTTTTATCTGCTGCGTAACCATGGGAGAACTTAGTGACATGGTCATTCCTGTCTGCAGAGGAGAGTGAGAAATATGTTTTTTTTTTCATCTTAGTACCATCAGTTGAATAAAATCAAGGCACTGGAACTAAGAAAGATTTAACAATAATGTCAGATAATCTGAGGAGAAAATATAATTTTTCTTAACCATTAGAACACTTCTCTGGGGCCAATATGATTTGCAAGAAAACATGAGTGACAATGGCCAGGAATCTGTGTTTTCAGAATG